TTCTAGGGCGACCGTAGGTACGCCAGTCATAGAATTTCTGGAGGCAGAGGGATGTTTGGACTTATGGGTAGCCTTTCTGGGTGCCTCTCCCTGTGGGTCCACAGCAGGACGCGATAGTGGCGTCGTGGAGGCCGAGAAATGCTCGTCCGAAGGACGTGGTAATAGGGCTTGGGAAATAGTATGGGAGAGGGTAGATGACATGGACCCCATGGCTGCCATAATGGCGTCTGTCACTGAGCGCTTTAGCGCTAAGAATTGTGCCCCTTCAGGGTGGATGGTTCTGTCTACCAGGGTGGGTGGAGTGCCTGAGGTGACAGGGGTCTCACCCAAATTAAATGGGGCATCAGTCTCCCCAGAGGGTGGGGATCCAGAAGGTAGTCTGGGTTTAGGCATAATGGAGAATAAAACACGATCTAATCCCTAATAATTAGATTATCAGAATAGTATGGGTTAGTCACCCAAAACTGAGAGCAATAGGTATAAGAGAGATCTCACCAGGGCCCAGACCTGTGGTACACGCACACACAAGGTAGGGAGGAAGACAGGAAGTCAGAAAATGGCCGCCGGTAATCTTGCAAGGTTCGCGGAAAAATACTGTAAAATTCGCTAAGTTAAAGAACCGAACGTTCGGTAGAAAAGAAACATTCGTGAAAACAGACGAACGAGCAGACTGTTCGTGCACAATTTAGGCAGCAAATAGGCGAATGGTGCTATCTGCCGGGAAAAAAGCGAATAGCATGTGTTCGTGATGAATCAGCCGAACTGGCTTAATTCGTGCATGAAAATAGCCGAACAAAGCGGAGAACAGGCGCAAAAGGGCGCCAAAGGGACAAGGAGAGGTAACAGCAAGACGGAGATAAGGAGATAAGGAAAAATCACAAGGACGGGGTCAAGTGAAAAAGGGGGGTTATAAACAAAAATATAACAGGGGAGGTCTGGACCCTGGGTTCACAGAAAAAACACACATATGTGTAGCATAAAACAAGCAGAGAAAACAACTCTCTAAGAACACAGAGAAAAAATCTCTAATAAAATAAAATAAAAGACAATAAAAGAATCAATAATAGATAAAAACCTATACAGTGTAATACAAGGATATCAATAATATCAATAGCAGGTAATAAACAAGTAAATCAGAGAGAAGATGTGACATGTACTTATCTTTGTATCGGAGCAGCAAAGAAAGAGGGGAATGGAAGGGAAGTGCTGCCTATTATACTGGGACCTGAGCGCTCCCCGGCCTATGTTACTGTATGTTCATTATTTTTTATTTCATTCTGTTTGTATTCTTTGCTGCTATTGGTGGACAGTAAAGAAAGGGGTATGCAATATGAGCCTCTGTGTCTTGTTATAAAATTGAGGTCTGAATTTTATTTATCTCCTTCTAGTGTTTCTTTCTTTGTTCCTGTCTCTGATCTGTATGGTATATACAGATAGCTTGTGACAGTTGTCCCTAGTTTCCAAGAAGCAAACACTTTGCGTTAGTTTTCTTAGAAATGGAAACAATGGTTTGAAATCACAAGCTGATTATTATACGTTGTAGTAGTCATATGGGACTTTTAGTCCAGAAAAGGCAAGAATGACCAGGTCAGCTTCAGGCAAGTATGGAAACATAATCTCTACATGTTGCTGTAAAAATTCCAGGTTAAGGGGACTGGAGTGTCCTTAACCATCCTTGGGGTGTTATATTTGTCCTATTTGTTTTTGTTTTTTTTCTCTCACACGTAGCATATAATGATAATACAGACAGGTATTCACTTCCAATAGTTCAGCTCATCCATTGCTGTTAGCGGATTACCGTAATAGATATATAAATATATACTGGTAAGGAAGTCCTGCTTTATAATGAGACAGGCATGGCAAGTAAAGCAGACTTCTAGCTGCAGAATGTTGCAAACCTTTTTTTTCTGAGCATGCAAAAAAACACCATAACAGTGAGGCCCAAACCAATCAGATGAATTAAAGTTGTGTTGGTGCGTGGAGTTTATAGTGGAGATATACTTGAAGCTGGAGGTAATAGAAGAAATACAATATTTACGGAGCTGCCTCAAAATAGCTGTCCCTTGTTTTTTCATGTGGGGGGGAGAAATGCAATCACATATCTTTTTTCATCCAATACGAAAGGCATCCAACTAGATGTCTCATTCACGTGTTGGAACTTTAGCCATTATTTTAGCAGTGAGAATGTCTGGAACACACAGCACAGGCAAATGCTGCACCAAGGTTGTTCGCCTCCCCAAAAACATTAAAGGACCACTATAGTGCCAGGAAAACATACTCGTTTTCCTGGCACTATAGTGCCCTGAGGGTGCCCCCACCCTCAGGGACCCCCTCCCGCCGGGCTCTGGAGAGGAAGGGTTAAACACTTACCTTTCTCCAGCGCCCGAGGCGAGGCTATACTCACTCACTTGCTTCGCGGCGTCGCCGAAGGCTGAATGCGCATGCACGGCAGAACGCTGGCAGCATATTCAGCGATGCACTAAAGCATTTACAATGCTTTCCCTATGAGCGCTGCGTGCTCTCACTGTGATTTTTCACGGTAGGAAACGCGCAAAAGCGCCGGCTGTCAATGGGGCAGCCACTAGAGGCTCTGGAGGCTGAATTAACCCTCAGTATAAACATAGCAGTTTCTCTGAAACTGCTATGTTTATAAAAAAAAGGGTTAATCCTAGAGGTACCTGGCACCCAGACCACTTCATAAAGCTGAAGTGGTCTGGGTGCCTAGAGTGGTCCTTTAAATTAGATAACAAACGTGCACCTGATGTGGACCAGGCACCAGCAATCTGAGATGTAGAGAAGATTGTCTGAGACACCTTCTATTGCAGCACTGTCTGGGAAAAACTAAGAAGGGTGACTGCATTAAAGTGTACAAGCGCAGTCTCAGACCTGGCAGTCACATTTTGTTGCAGTGCGTTCACAGAAGGTCCATGGGAGAATCACCCGGTATATCTCACCTCAGCAGTGACCGCGTTTAGAAGAGTATGAGACGCCAGCCGCTGCGCGCTACAGAATTTTCTGTCTTCTTGAGTTCTCGCCCATAATTCTCCTGAGGACTTGCGTGCAACATCACTCTGACGTCCCAACATCATGTGACCACTACTAGCCTATCAAAGTACTTATTAGGGTATTTGATTTATTTTCAGTGCACTGTCGTGGTTTCCACTTTGGTTATCCGAGAGTGTTTTATTTTTATTAAATCTTCTATATTTTGGCCTTGGCTTGTTCTTTGACTATTCTGACTTCTGTATCCCTTGTCTTTTGGCTTGTCTACTGTTTATATACCTTCTGTTTCCTTGTCCTCGGCTTGTACTGTACTAAGGTCCGGTAAAAGGTTTTAGGGTTTCTGATTTATTTTTATTTGTTAAGTTCTGTGTGTTTGGTGTTAGACTATGTTGACGGAACGCATTTAGGTGACTGGCAGTGGCCAAAGGGCAGGTACTTTGAGACTCCTACACTACAGCTTCTTAAAGGAGAACTGTCACTTATGAGATTTTTGCAGAAGCTGATAGCTAGCTAAAGTTAGCTTACTAAACAACATGTAACTGGCTTTTCAGGCACGGCATATAAGTTAAATGACCCCATGCAGTGCTGTATCTGGTGCGCATGCGCCTAAACATTTCGGTGTAAGTGCTTGACTGTGCATAAGAGTGTCCAAGCAAGAAAATCCTAAGAAAGAAATAGGTTGCCCAGCAATAATAATGACCCTTCAATAACAATGTCCCTTACTACTCAACAATGTGAGAATTGAATTTGGGACGGGGGACGGGTGACGGGGGTGGGGGGGGGGAGGGGAATCAGTGGGGACAAGTGGCAGTCAGAAAAAGGAGTGCTTGCTGTGCAGCCAGGTTGACTGCAAGCCTGCCGACATAGGATACTGATGCTCAGAGTGCAGCAAAAGCTCTCTCTCAGTAAGGGCAATAATTCACTAGAATAGCCCTGCGTAGTATTGAGCACATATAACGCGATTTGTTGTTTATAGAGAGTTTTCTCAGATGTCACCAGAAATAGGACACCACGGTGTAAAAATAAGGTTGCAGAACAGGTGTCAAAAATCAGGACTGTCCTTCCCGATCGAGAACTTTTGGGAGATATGTAGTTTGAAGTTGCACCTGAATTAAAGGTAAGGAAGACTGCAAGAGTTAATACAGTCACATACTTTTCTTGACTTTGCCTAACATTATATGTAAATACAAATAAATAAAAAGTATATACAGAATTTTAAAACAATTCTAGCACAATCAATAGATCCTGTTAGCTGTGAAAGTGACTGTTCGTCTTTAAATCTTATGTTACAGCCCTGTAAGTATTGTAAATCACCCTGCTTTAGAGGATGTCCTTTCCAATCATAGGACACAGAATGAAGAGGGAGTGTTCTAACCAACAGGAGGGGCAGAATGTTTGTGAAGCAGCCTTTAGACTTGCTCTAACTTGTCCTGCTTGTCAATTAGCCTGTGCCTAGGGCCTGGGTATTGCTGTCACTGTTACTGTATTCTGAACCACAGATAAAACAGGTGAGTTTGCTATCAGGCTTCCTGTATTTATAGAGAAACGATTTCAAAAGGAAAACATTTAGAATAGAGGGGTTTTTTGGTTTTGTTTACGCTCGGTACTGATACCTCTAGGGGAGTACTGGAATTCTTAAAATCACACATAGATCAATCCTCAGCTATCAGAGCATATTTTTCAATAGAGTATTCAGATTGCCTCATTGCTCTTGAGTAGGGTGGGAAGAGGGGATACTCTACACTCTCATACTATATTATAAGAGAATATTAGATCCTTAACCCCTCTTCCCAGTGCTGCACTTAAAGCCCTACTCTGAATTCCCCTGAATTTGCTCTAAATGGTAGTAAGTGATTTCTCTGTGTTTTTTAAATTTTAATAAATGCTTATGTCATAGATCTTCCGATTGCACTGCAATCTCCACTCTGGCATCCTTAGGGTGTAGCCAGAAGTGTATTATGGGATCTTGGCAGTAAAAGGGTATTTTCTGTAGTAATTGGAAACTTCACATGCGTTCATTTAAATGCACATGTGCAGAAGAGTTTGCTAAATATGAGTAATGAATGCCAATATGCCCACTCATTGTACAGTAACGGCTTAGCTGAAATCAGGAAAACAAGGCCAGACATGCAAATATCCTCTAGCTCTCATATGACATCCTTTTCAGAGGATTTAGAGAAGGAAGTAGGCACCTGTGATGTGGCTGCACATTATAGTGTTTCATTTATACATTGCATTATGCCATTTATTTATCTGGAGGCAGGCAGCAGCGCACAGCGGACCCTGGGTAAGAAGTCAAACTGTTCAAAGCTGGTTTAATTACTTACAATGAGAGGGACACCAGGGCACTCCTGGCAACAGTGAGTTGTAGTAGTTATGGTGCGTAGTTGGAGTGTCTCTTTAATTAACGTGTTCATGCAATAAAGGAACACTCCAGCTACGCACCATTCAAACAGCCCTTGGAAAGCATTACTCAATGCTTTCCTATGGACGTCCAGCGTCTTCTCACTCTGATTTTCACAGTGAGAATTGCGGAAGTGCCTTTAGTGGATGTCAGTGAGACAGCCACTAGAGGCTGGATTAACCCTCAGTGTAAACATAGCAGTTTCTCTGAAGCTGCTATGTTTTCAGCTGCAGGGTTAAAACGAGAGGGACCTGGCACCCAGACCACTTCATCGAGCTGAAGTGGTCTTGGTGCCTATAGTGGTCCTTTAACCCCTTAAGGACACATGACATGTGTGACATGTTTTGATTCCCTTTTATTCCAGAAGTTTGGTCCTTAAGGGGTTAATTAACAATGTCCAGATTTAACCTCCCTAATGATGCAGCAGGTGGGGGCATATCAACTAACTGTTTAAAATTCGCAACTGAGCACCCATTGCTGACCAGTCACTACCCCAGGTAGTGCGTAAGGGATACTTTTTAAATGTGGGGGACCTAATATCTGGCCCCAACCCCCACCCATTGGTTTCAGGTGGGGTCAATTTTAATGTAACCTAATGTCCCCTCAAACCCCACACATGGTTGTGGGCTCTAATTATAATGGGGTGGGCTAGTGTCCCAATGAGCATTTCACTGCAAAAGTAAAGGCTTCATCAATACTTTAATACAGCTATGTACTCTAAGCATAACCTATTCCGTCAGCACTCAAGCTAATATACAATCTACCCAACCCACAGCTACAACTGTAGGAACAGGGAGATAAAAGATTTTTGTATCTTCAAGATTTAAAGAGCATATGTGTTAATTAACAATGATATAGAGAATATGGATGGCTAGGTATTATATCAGGTATGAAGAAAAACAAAAGAAGATCCAACAATGGAAAAAGGTGAGTAAGATTGAGGGATCTGCTGCGTGGAAAAAACTGAACATAATTGCAGCGAGGATCTCTGCTCCTGAGAGCTCCCAAGTGAGCAATAAACTCTACCTATGGTATCAATGGAGAAGTTGATGTGACAACTGGCTGCATGCACGTGACAACCAACAGTCCTCTTCTGCTTATAGAGGTTCAGCTTGACATTTGGAGAGATGAAACCAAATGTGATTGCATGTCCTTTACCAATGAATTTTTATAATAATAAATGTCTAGGGACGCATTCATTTTAATACCAAAATATCTTCTGTATATGAGTAGGCTAGTATACTGAGAGGGTCTGTGGCCAAAAAGTGAATTGTTAAGGAAATTCAATATCTGGGCCCATGATGCTCACTTGGAAAAAGAAAAAGAGTTGAATTGGAGTTTTTTGTCTATTTTGGTCCAAATTTTGCAATTGCCTGGCTAATTCACCACAATTCAATTTTTATGGTGTTCTTCCCTAAAGCGAGAACTCAAACTGAATTTCAAATTTAAGACCAAACTAGAAATATTAATACGTTGTCTATGCCTCCAGTTTGGCTACTTACTCAATCCAATGACTGAAGGCATAGAGGCTGTGGTGTAGAGGGAATGGGTGCTTTGTGTGGATAGGTGCTGTACTATGTGTTGGGGGGGTTGTTGCTGTAGGGTAGTAATTCACAAACAGAGGATACCGCACTCACACTTAGGAATCCAGGTGCTTATCAGGGCCAGTGTTGGCAAAACCCAGTTTAGTAGAAAAAATAAATTAGGTCCAGGCACTCAGGATTGCTGCAGAAAGGCAGGTTTAGCGGAACAAAAAAGTGCAACGTTTTGGCCTACACAGAGGCCTTTATCAAGTTGCTGTAGTATAGGGCATGTTAAAAAAATAACGGTGCTTTAGTATGGGTGGATAGGGGCAGAATTGTGAAGGGAATAGGGGATTTTAGTGCGGGGGGATATGGTTAGGTATATATATATATATATATATATATGTGTGTGTATGTAAAAAAAACAGATAAAATTCTTATCTTGTAATACCTTTTTTATTGGCTACAATCTCTACTTGAACACTATATATATATATATATATATATATATATATATATATATATATATATATATAAAATAATGTTAATTCCTTTTTGCATACCATGACCAGGGAGGGGGGTATGTCAACCCCCAGTGGATGCCGACTTCATGACTTCTTCAGGCTGCAGCCAGTAAGGAATCAGAGCTGTGCCATGGGTTCCACTACAGGAATAATTCACACGCTCTGCACTTGCTGGAGGTGCAGATCGCTAGCTGCCTAGGCCCTCCCATAGTAGTCCACTAGGCGGGGAGGAGAGAACGTTTCTGATGCTGTTGGGACGCCCCACCAGACCAGAGCCTGGTAGTTGACCGCTCTACCCCTCCTTGCTATGCCACTGTAGTTGACTTCTTAACTGGGGTTCGCTGAGCGCTGCTCCCTGCCTCCGAAGTTTTCAGCTCTGAGCCAAACTTGGCAGTGTACACACATTTTGCACTGCAGAACTTGGCTCAAGAGAGATAACTGAAGCTCCCTGTAGGAGCTTCCAGCTCTCAATTCACTGAGAAGTGAAGGTAAGAAGTCAAACCATTACAAAATGTCGAACTGCTTAGGTTGCAGTTGATACCTGGGCATTTCTAACACCATAACTACTACAGCATGCATGTTGCTTGGACTTTTTCTTTCAAAAACAGTTATCTTCTGTTTGTAATGTTTTTATACAGTATTCAGTTTGCGTAATAATAGTACAGATAATACTGTGTTCATTTCTCTAACAGATGATGCCTGAAGGCTGTTTATTTTTAGAAACACGGGGTGTGGTCTGTTGACTTTTTTTTTTCTCTCTCTGCAAACTGAGCTTCATTCGTTAAACAGCTAATTACAATAAACTGAAAACTGAATGTCAAAATGTAGAACACGGTATGTAATTTGAGAAAAATTTTCAACTTATGCTGTAGATAGATCTTAAAGAGACACTCCACTGACCAAAAACAAAATAAATAGACAATCACTGTACAATAGTTATACTCCAAATAAAAACTTTAATGTCTTTAATTATGCAGTTTTTTAATTGGGGTATATCTGAAAACCTCTTGCAGAACATACATTTCTCTTATCTTCTGCCTTTACAAACCCTCCCCTTCTAACCCTACCCAGTCTTTCTGTGGTGTCCAATCCTTTCCTGGGTTAAGCCAATGAGGGCAAACTCATTGGCTGAAAGAATCAGCTGATCATTCTCAGCTAATGAGCTAAGCTCTCCAAATGGTTTGACTATTTACAGTGAGGGATCACCATGGCACTCCAGGCACCATAACCACTACAGCACACTGTCGTTTTTATGGTTCTTGGAGTTTTCCTTTAAATACTGAAATTGATGTAGGAACCCCACACCCCTTACCCACGACAACGAAACATTATTTCTACCGCAAGGAACCCTGGACAGCATGAATCTCACACCTCCACCAATACACGACACCTGCTAAGCTGCTTCCTTCGCACACCATTTGCGACATGCACAACCCGACAATACATAGCCCGACATGGGACATAACACGGTCATTAGACAGGCCAGTTAGGCCTTTGGGAACTCCACGAAGAGGCAGGGCTCTCCCGCACTGACTCTATTGCGCCAAATGCGGGAAGTCGAGGTGCGAATGAGGGCACCACGATTGGAAGTTCATATTGCTGGAGGGACTCTCTCACACTATCGTCTGTCCTCATCGAGCCGATACCATCCACTTTCCTTCCCATCTACAATGGCTGCGCAGTGCCATACCTCTTTACTACCACCACCCAACACCGGATTCCCTATGGGTTATGCCATACCCTAACACAATACATCACACTTCACTTTCACACTCTTCGACGAGAAATCTTGACACCAACCATTAGTTGACACGCATTTTTAAGGTACTGATACATATTAATTTGTCCGCACCGCCCTAGCCCTCGGTGGACTGATCTGGTCAACTATGGTTCTCACGAGCTGTTACGATGTGCCCCCTGGGGAGGAACACGGTAGTGACTGACACTTGCGATCTCGTGTTACCTGATATTGCAACTGTAACTGATTCTAATCTCATATGTATATTCTGTTTGGATATCTGATGCTTTTACTATGTAACCTTGTATTCTGTTATTAAAGGACCACTATAGTGCCAGGAAAACTTACTCGTGCCCCCACCCTCAGGGTCCCCCTCCCGCCCGGCTCTGGAAAGGGGAAAAGGGGTAAAACTTACCTTTTTCCAGCGCTGGGCGGAGAGCTCTCCTCCTCCGATCCGCCCCGTCGGCTGAATGCGCAGCGCAGCAAGAGCTGCGTGCGCATTCAGCCGGTCACATAGGAAAGCATTCTCAATGCTTTCCTACGGGCGCTGGCGTGCTTCTTACTGTGAAATCACGGTGAGAAGCAGCATGGCCTTCAGTGGCTGTCAATGAGACAGCCACTGGAAAAAGGGGAAGGCTTAACCCATTCATAAACATAGCAGTTTCTCTGGCACCGCTATGTTTATAAAAAGGGTTAACCCTAGAAGGACCTGGCACCCAGACCACTTCATTAAGCTGAAGTGGTCTGGGTGCCTAGAGTGGTCCTTTAATGCGGGCCTGCGAGCGCAAATTTAACTATTGACATGTATCAATAAAAACTTTATTAATAAAAAAAATACTGAAATTGAGTTTGTAGTTCACTACAGTTTGATGTTAAGTGAGTAAACAGCCATACTTTCTTTCCTCCAGCCCTGAGGTCAGTGCTCAAGATGGCTCCTAAGAGGAAAGCTGCTGCCACTGCCAATACTCGAGGTGCAGGAAGAAACAAGAAATCTAAGATAAAAGAAGAGATCAAGGAGGAAGTTACAGAGGAGGCAATCCAGGCCCCAGACCGCTTCCAGAGTACCATACAAGCACTGAAATCATCATCTGGCAAGAAAGGAAAGGCCAAAGTGGACGCTGCTTGCCCTCTGAACCGGAGTGGTAATTGTGAGGTGGGTATTAAATGGGCACATGTATATTATTAGCCCTGACAGCCACTTCTGTCTATTAGTGAACTCCTACAATACACAGGTACAGTACGCCTGTCTAAAAAATATAATCTAGTGTCATATAGGGCAGTGGTGATTCATGCTGGCATCTCAGGTGTTGGAAACTGCATTTCCCATGACTACAGACTGGCCATGCATCATGGGAAATGTCATTTATCTGAGGGGTCTCTGTCAGCCATCATCCTTATAGAATCTTTCCTCCTTGCATTATGTGAGCCAGATTGTTTTCAAATTTGTAGTTAACAGTCTAACTGATATTTTAGGCAAGGGTGAACAAAACATTCTCTAGAGCGGCAAAACGACAGCACAAATTATGTTTTCAATTCATATTCATTTTCACATCATTCTATACCTTTTCTCTCCATCCTTCCCTCATACATTCCAAAGTCTTAGGTATGTTTATGGAATGTGTATTGAAATTCTCTGTTCCATATTTTTGTTTTTAACCATGAAATATTTAAGCCAAAAATGTCTTCCAGCAAGAATATGTATTTTCTAGTTTTCCTGCTTCAACAATAGATTCTATTGTATTTGATTACATTGCAAGACCAGAGTGAGACAGTGCTGGGTTTATTACTAATTAAAAGGGTAACAGAGCTCCTGTACTCAGAATGAATACCTCCGTCAGATCAGCTTCCTTGCTGCTACCAAGGGACCCTTGAGTACTCCACACCCTGTTGCTGAAGATAAACTAGGATTTCTGTGGATCTTTTCCGCTGTAAGGCCTACCGCTGTAAGGACTCTCTCCTGTCTAGCAGTGATCATAGCCCTTTTCCCCCCTCACGTTAGCTGAGACTTAATGTGAGGGGTAAAATGAGCACACGTTATTGAACACACAATGCATACATTTATACTCACCAGATGTGGATTGACCTGTGGGCCACTCTGTCTGGGAAGATAGTGGTTAATTTGATCAGTCAATATAATCAGTCTAGAGATAATCATATTTCCCCAATGCTGTCTACTCTCCAGGACCAGGCAATCTGTGCATTCCCACAAACCATACATCCCTGTGCAGCTCCCCCCCCCTTCCCAGCTACCACTATCCAAGTCCAAGTGACAGTACTTTAAAGTTCCACCGAGTCGCGGCCATCCTCCTATCAGGGTCCATACTCTGTGGGGTGGAGGCTGGCATGCAAGCCCTTCCATTAGCCAGGGACACAGGGGCTTCCGTCACAAAAAACCTTGAGGACCAAACGCTACACTTCACAGTAATCATAATATTGTACAAAAAGACTGTATGTATATATGTGTATGTCCTGCATGGTATACTGTACTTATGGCAGCTCTGTACAACCTTACAGATGTCGAATGGGAGGGTGATTCCATTTTGTAAGTGCAAGCTTTATTGACATTGTGCTGCGATCAGTAAGCGCACAAAGCATTCGGAACAGGACAAGCAGGTTCTTTTAAAAACAACTCAAGTATAGAATACATATCTGGACAACAGAATATGAAATCATGTACAGCACAACCGACAATATCTGAACAGAGACATTATATAGCTGGATATGGATGGGGTTGCCCAGCTTGTTAAAAAAAAGAAAAATTAGCTTATTAGTACAGGCAAACTTATTTTCAACGCACTGTTTAGAGAATAAACAAGTGGTCGGTATCCAATGCATTCTAACTTCTAACATTCCAACTGATCAACAGTTTTTAGAAGAGGCAGCAACTGCTGTTTATTATCATTATTGTTCCTTATCTTCTTGATCTATGGATCTTCTGACTGCAGGTCAAAGTTAGGTTTTATGGATTTTGTAGTACTAGTTTTACAAATGTGATTATCATTATTATTATAATTTTATTATTTATATAGCGCCAGCAAATTCCATAGCACTGTACAATGGAATTATAAATCTTTTTATTTTATTTCAACAGGTATATGAAGATTTTGACTGCATGCTAAACCAGACTAATATTGGAAATAACAACAACAAGTTTTACATTATCCAACTAGTAACTTCTTCTGGTTCATATTATGGCTGGAATCGATGGGGTCGAGTGGTGAATACTTTGGAATTACTACTTATGTTGTCTTTTATTTTTGCGTAAAGTAACCGTGCTGTACAAAAGAATGGGGTTACAAGGAAGAGAACATAAAGTACATTAATTAAAACCCAGTTCACAAATTTAGGAGCCAGTGATGCATGGCCCCCTTACTGCATCATCTAGCAGTCACACTATACCCAGATGATTTCAATCACAAGCCTCATATTGTTTGTATGACTTTTGTCATAAACCAGCAGGCCCAACCCTTTACCTTTGACCTCAGCAAACAAG